CCGCTTCCTCGCACAGGCGCACCCAAGGGTTTTTTTCCTAATCGATCCCTTCCTCTTTTTTTTTTTTTTTTTTTTTTCCTGTCCCCGTTTCGTGTGTGAAGGCTGCCAACGTTTTGAGAGAAACAGCTGTTCAAACGAAGGGAAGAAGGAGAGGAAGAAGCTTGAGCTGTGTGTTGTGCGCAGGCTATGCTTTGCTACCGTATTGCTAGCTAGCAAGAGAACATCGTCACCACAATTTGCCCATTCCATTTGCCCTACTCTCCCCCTTCCTCCATTCATTCGCTCCGCCTCTTCATTTCTCACAGCCGGCATATTCGCGCGCGAACAGCTCACCTGTACGAACGAGTATTACTCTCCGCCTTGCCTTGTTCATCCTCCGTCGAATATTTTTTTTCCTTTGAGAATTGAAGAAGAGGAAGACGGTCTCTTCACCCTGCCTAGCATTGGAGGGAGAACGAGTGAGAAGACGAGAAAAGACCTGGAGATTGAATAGCCGCGCAATACTGTCGCCCATCCATCTTCAAGCTACCAGCCCACTCCAGCAACAGCACGGACAATTCCCATCATCGGTGCACCCGAGCTAGAATTGCGTTACTCTATTCCCAATAACCTCCTCCGCGCGCGCATCCCTCGGATTTCGAGTTGGTTTGCGCGATCGGGTACTTTTTATCTTCGCCTTTTTATCTTGAATTATTATTTTCTAGTAAAGGGCGGCTTTTTGTGGAGTTTTTTTCTTCCTCTCTTTTACTACTCTCTACTCAACTTGACTGCGGCTATTCCCCCTGCGGTTAAGCAGCGATGACTACGATAATCGACGTACCAATGGCGAATAGAGGTGAGCGTCTGCCCTCTTATAGCCAGACGCGGAGGTGTGGTTCGGAGGAATTCGTGGATGCAAAAGCGCCGCTGTGGTGTAATCGTGGATTTGGAGGGGAGAGTGGATGGTATGAACTGGAGAGAGCGCTGGAGATGCTTGATAAGGTATGTCGTTCGTTCGCTTTCATTTTTTTACGAGTGGAAGAAATTGGTGGATCTGGTCAGGGAATATCGGTACTCGAGTATGATATAAGTACCTGTAGTTTGAGCTGCCTGGTCCGGTCTGGGGCGGGTGGAATGGGGATGTTGCGAGGAGGTATTAATGGGGGCGCATTTTTGTTGACGGGGCACACTTCGAACCCTAGATTCATCTACGCAGTGTGATAACGGCGCAATTACCGAGTAAACAGAGTCGACCCCTATTTTCTGTTGGGAAGCGACAACGGGAGGGGCAGCAGGAGGAGCATCGGCGATATCTCTTATCCCATAATAAACTTGATCAGGCACGTAAAATTTCTACCCCTCTAGTATGAACGCACTTGGCCCCCCCTCTCTCTTGCGCGCTCCCTCTACCATCACCCATTCTGTCCTGTTTTACCCTTAGGGACTTCCCTGTCTCATTCCACACACCCTTTCCTTGGATCCGTCTTACAGTGTTTGACCGGTCACTTGATCATCCGGCTCAACTCTTTGCAACCCGATCCTCTTTGGGCTCAACAACTCCCCTTTTTTCCTTCTCAAAAAGACAAGTAGTTTTAATGTATTTCATTCTTCCCACTACTATCGCCGCTACCACCTAAAAGTGCAAAGCGCGTTGTTCGGTTCGCGATAGTCAGGAAAACTGTCGAAAACCGATGGAACAAGAATAAGGATAAAAAAGGGTGCAATCGGATCGGTCGCTAACATCACCTGCAGGATTCCGATCAATACCATCTGGAGCTGTTGAACTGGATCCCGCCCGCATACGTAGACGACGACGAACCCCCACCACCTTATCGGGAGTTCGAGGAGGAATCACTCGCTACCAGCCGTGCGCATCTTCCTCTAAAGAAGATGGGTGTAGAACCTCCGCCATCATTCTTTTCCGGCAAATTTTTCGGGATAACAGACAGAGCTGGTAAGAAAAAGAGGACTGGCACCGCCAACAAATCGGGGATATCAGGAGGAACGGGGAACCCGAAGAAAGCCGGTGGAAAGGCGCCGGCAGGCGATGGTGGGAGTGGCGATGCCAACCCTAATGGCGGTGGAGCCGATGGATCGGGTGGTGGAGACGATAGCGGCGACAAAAAGAAGGATGAAGAAGCGAGGAATTTGAAAGAAAAAGAAGAGGAAGAGGAGAAGAAAAGGAAAGAAGAGGAAGAAGAAGAAGCCAAACGGAAGGAGTTGGATGAGGAAAAAAGAAAAGCCGATGAGGCTGCACAGGGGACAGATGGTTGGGGTGCAGACGATGACAATGAGGCTGCGTTTGAGTCCGTTCCGACAAAGAGGTCAAAGGAAAGAAAGGTAGGGCAGTATTTGCCCCTCCCCCGCTTATGACATCTAGCTAGCGAGAGAGTTACTTACCTTATCTGGCACGTTTAGAAGAAAGAACCACCGCCCGAAGGAGCCGGTGTGAAAGAGGCCATACCGGGTGATGACGGAATGCCTGGCGGATGGGGAGACTCGGCCGACCGGAGCCCTCCATCTAGGCCTGATCCACCTGTGGGGGTGCTAGACCCCGAGCCTGGGCGGGAATTGGGTCCGGCAGAAAAGAAGAAGAAGGAGAGGGAGGAGAGGGAGGAGAGGCGAAGAAAGGCGCGCGAGGGGAAGGAGCCAAAGATGAAGTCTACGAGTAAGGTATGTTTACGGTGGTAATTCTCTTAACTGTAATTATTACTTGGCCACTTGGGGTTTAGTATACCCAAGCACTCTACATTTGCGTAGTGCATGCGGTATAAAAGCCTCAACTGAGGTGCGAGTAGGCTGATCGATGCATCATACGTGTACAATACTCGTTGGGAAAACAACCAATCGTGTTTTAGAAGAAGCCAGAGGGCTAACAGAATATACAGAGAGATGCAGTCCCAGAGACACAGCCTGAAGAAGCACCAGCGCCAGCGCCACCCCCTCATCTAGGGGGACCTATAGAAAAGAACAAAAGAAGAGTTGCGGAGGAGCTCAAGGATGATGTGGACTCTGAAAAAGAAGCAGATGTCGCATCCCCTCAACCGGAAGCCGCAAAAGTTCCAACATTTCCTTCCATTGGTGTAGGGTCGGGATGGAGTAAGCTGTGGAGCCCTTGGGCTGGTGCGAATCCCTCCGCTCCAAACCTGGATAAAGGTCCTGGATCTCAAACTGCCTCCAAATCATCTGCAGCTCAAGAGACCTCAGCCCAAGCGCCACCGACGGCCCTCAAAGAAGCAAAAACGGGAAGGGCCCAAAGGGAGAAACCGAGTACCCAGGGGCCTCCCTCCAAAATTGAAGAAGCCGTTGAGGTTGTTCCAATTCCGGGACCGCGGAAATTACCCGGACCGGTGCCGGAGCGGGGAATAGAAATAGTCCCCGCCCCCGCCCACGAGTCAACGCGGGGGGGAACAGAGCCCATGCCCCTTGTCAAGCAAAGCAGGAGCGACAAAGAGAAGGAAAAGGTGGAGACAAGGGAGGCAGCGAAGCTCGGAAGGGGCAAACGGGTAGTCGAGGAGTCTAAGAGGGTGAAGGAACTGGAACTGGAACAGCAGGGTGAAAAGAGGGCTAGAGGAGTGAAGGGTGCAAAAGTTGCGGCAGCAGCAGCAGCGTTTGAAGCGAAGACGGCCGCTACTTCACCTCTGGGAAAAAAGACTAAAGGGGTTGTGGAGAAGCTAGGGCAAGGGTTGGAAACCGAGGTCGAGCTTAAGGCCGAACGGGAACCAGCGGTGGAACCTATGTCTGAGGTGACTGTAAAGGAAGTAGCTGCGGAGCCGGAGCCGGGGGCCACTGGGCAAGTAGCTCAGGAAGAGGAGCCCAACAAAGGGGATGTGCTCCCCGGACCTACGGCACCGGAAGAGGACACCTACGATCCAGGTTACGGAAGACCTTCGCACATTCAGTACGCTAATACTTCGGGTATAAATTATGTTCCCACGCTCGACAAGGCGCCCTATGCGCCTGTACCAGAGGGACCCAAATACGCCCAACTAAAGCAGTATGAATACGCACAATCGACTTGGGGTTTCACAAAGCCTAAGAAAACAACTAGAGGGGCACCCACGCCTGCGCCAGTGCCACCCCCAGCTCCCGCAGGACCGGCGGAGACCGACCTGGTGCCAGAGGTAATCGAAGAGGCACCGCCATCAGAGCTTCTTAAATCACCTATCGGAGATGATGCAGATGTTGGGATTATAGGCGCTGCTGCAGAGGTTGTGGGCGTGGAACTGGAAACGGCTCCTCCCCCGCCCTCCGAGGAAGAACCTTCCCCGGCCTCTGCCCCTGCGCCCAGGGAAAAGGAAAGGGAAAGGGAAAAGAAATCAAAGAAAGATGGTTCGGTCTGGGGTACCATTCTTGGAGCGCCAAAGACGGCGAAAAAGAAGGCCCCAGATGTTGAGGTCAGCATCAATTCCAACCCTTGTGTGATAGAAAGCGAGAGCGAGGTGGATTGCGATGCTGAAATAGAAAATGGGGAACAGCGTGTTCGAAGGTCTTCTACTGAGGTCGACGCCAATGGTAGTCCCATCAAAGTGGTCGGTCTGAGGGATTTGTGGAAGATGAACAAAGAAGTTGGAAAGCGACAGAAAAGTGCGAGGAACACACCTCTGGTAGAGAAAACCCAGGAAGAAGCCATTCTGGAAGTCACTCCAGAGGCTACACAAGTTTCTCCGCCTGCTCTGGGATTGGCAGTTGAAATTCCACAATTTGAAGGTTAATCTCTTGTGACGTGTCTTGGGGTATTGGGCTGGTTGCTAACGTCGCCTATCGCAGAACCTGAAATTGCCCCTGAAACGCCAGCACCTAAAATGCTTCCCATCGAATCATATCTCGTCCCACCCACACCATTACTGCCAACACCTCAATTTGACATTGGCGAACCCTCTCCACGCGGACGTGAGTTTCCTCCTCATGCTCTTGCTCCTGCTCCTCGATCCTCAAAGAAAGAGAGGAAGAAGAAGAAAGAGCCGAAATACGAAGAGGAACCAATTGAGGAAGCTCCAGCGCCTCCCGAGCCAACGATTGTTGAACCTGAAGCGGAGCCAACTGTCGGGCCGGAAGTAGAACCAGCCGTTGACCCGGAGGCGGAAGGAAGGGTTGCGCCCGAGCCCGAGCATCCTAACTTGTCTGGGAAGGGGAGAAAGAAGAAAGAGAAAAAGAAGAAGGAGAGAAAGGAGAAGGAAGTGGTGGAAGAACCTCCTGCGCTCGAGGTACCTGAGGTTGTCGAGGAGGCTCTGCCAGAGCCTGAGGCGTCTCCTACTTCTGGTCCTGGTTTGATCATGGGAATGTTGACCGGCTGGGGAACTGGGTCTGGGTCTGCTGCCTCCGGCGTTTCTGCGAACGCGGAACCTGGATCCGAACCGGCCCCCAAGATCGGGCCTGACTCCAACGCCGATCACGAACATTGGTTCCAAAAGGATCCCGAATCAGAGCCCGAACAAGAGCGTGAACCCGATCCAGCACCAGAACCGGAAGCTCCGATGGGAAGGCGGAGCCGAGAGCACAGCTTCGGTGCGGCACCGGCTCCGGCACATTACGCTGGATATCCGGGGTATTCTAGTTACCCCGGGTATCCGGGTTACCAGGGCTACCCCGCTCACCATTTTGACCATGACCCACCTGCGCCCAGAGCACTCATACCGGAAGAACTTCCGGAAGAGAAGCCCCATCGCCACCGCAGTCGCAAGTACCGCGAACTTCAAGAGGAGGTACATGCTACGAATAGCAAGGAGGTCAAAGAGAAACACCGCCGCCGCAAGGTATCGATCCAAGAGCCTGAAGGTGTCGCTGTCGCAATGGAGCGGAAGAAGACGCATTCCTCGGAAAATGTCGATGGAGACAAAGGAGCTCGTAGGGAGCGACGACGCCTGAAAAAACAGGCAGTAGAACAGGCAGAGATGGATAGATTGCGCAGGGAAGCTGAGGAGAAGGCGCAAGCTGAGCACAGGGCCCGTGCTGAAGCTGAGGAAAGGGCGCGTATCGAAGCAGAAGAGCGGCGGCGTGCCGAGAGGCGAGCCAAGAAGGCAAAGAAGGCAGAGAAGGAAGCTAGGTTGCGAATTGCTGAGCAGGAAGCTTTGCTAAGAGAAGCCGGACTAAGGGCGAGGGAGGAGGCCATCGCTGCAAGCCAACAAAAACTTGAGAGACGGAAGTCGTCCAGGAGAAATTCTGGCATTCCGGCCGAGGCCAGCGAAACCCGAGAGGAAAAGGAAGCCCGAAGAGAAGCCCGTCGTATTAAGAAGGCCGCGAAAGAGGGCCGTGTCAGCATGTCTAGATCAAATAGTGACCAAACACAGCAGCGCGCTCATGGCCGTGTCAGCATGTCCGGCTCCAATAGTGATCAAGTTCAACATGCACAGGACCTAGCGAGGGCCATGAACGGCATTGGGAGAAGATACTCGGGTCCCTACGTTCCCGAAAGTGAGCGAAGCCACCCTTACGACGATGAATATGAGCACGAGCGGCGACGCCGAATACGCCGAGAGCGCCGGGAAGCACACAAAGCGCAAGAAGCCAATCTCTGGCAGAACAGGGAGGACATCAGTGGTTCGATAACCCCCGAGCAGATACCTGAAAGCGAAGATGCGAACAACCACCGTTTCTCGTCCAGCTACTCTAATGATATGATGGAAGAGGAGCAGGCGCTCAGGGAGCGTAGGAGACAACGCAAAGAGGCGCTAAAGGTGCTGGAAAGAGATGTTATGATGGAAAAAGGACCCATAATGGTTGATGACGAAGAGCGCCGGACGAAGAAACACGCTAAGAAGGAGAAGAGGTCCAAGGAGACGGAGGACCCCGAGGTTAAAGCTGCACGTCGTGCTGCAAGGGCCAGGAAGAGGTTGGAGAGGGAGAGATTTAATGGGGGGTTGACCGATTATGAGGGTAATATTCCCGGAGGCGGCGGTAGCAAGAAGAGCTGGTGGAAGAAGCTCCTTAGTTAAATGAAATACCCCCTCTTTTTTTTTACCCTCAAAGTGATAATGGTGGTTATTCTCTGCTCATTTCTTTATTTGTCGTCACGGATACTTGGAGTGTTACGGATTTGATGTCTTTTTTTTCAAAGCTTTCTCATATTTTACGCTTTCCACTTGCTTTCCTGTTCATTATCTATATATATATTCTATATTATGTCGTGTGATCGTGATGGGAAACCTACCTATAACAAACTTCACGGAATTAGCTCTGATTTTATTTTTATTTTACTCACCCTTTTATACCATCTTCCCCCCCCTCTCTTGTCCCATTTCTCCATTTCATTGTTCAATATCTGTCGAATATCTGTCGAACACCCTGTTGTAACTTTTTTTTTTTCCCACTTCTTTTTTATATCCGCTTTTATTTATTTATTTATTCCCACCCCTCCCCCTATACCGGTACGGCACGAGGTTCATGTGTGAAGTGTGTGTAGGGGGGGTTAAACGAACGCAAATGAAAAACAAAACAAAAAAAAGTAATTCCAGTTCTAGAACTAATCTCGAGGTTTTTATATCTGTCCATTTGATTTTTCCGTGAGCGCTAGTGAGCGGTGATTTGTAATTTTTTAATTTTTTTTTACCGTCTCATTCTCATATTAGGTGTCTTGCTCATGTGTTATGTGAGCTGTATCGTATCATACCGCGCGATAGGTCTGATGCGATCGAGGCGAGGGGCAAGGGAGAAAGAAAAAAAAAAACTTGTTTCTACTCCTATGATACGGGGTTGGGATTGGAACGACGGGGCCGTCTGTCGTGTGCTGGCGTTTGGGGGTAAGTTTGGCATGTGGACGGTATCATACCGTACTGTATTTCGTACGGAGGGGGGGTGGTTTATGTTTTTCCTCGGTCCCAAGGCTGCTTGCTGGCTGGTTACCGAACGGTAAACTGTTAATGCTCCTCTATACGAGTACGGTAGAGTACTGTATTCGTCCGTTGAGTTTTGTGACGAGTGATTTATTTGTCCGTGTTCGCCGGACTGTTAGGGTACTATACTAGTACTGTACTGTACCGTGTTCTACTACTACTACTACTACTACTACCGTAGCGGTCTCTTTCCCATTATTCGTTTAATACTGTACAGTACAGTACAGTACAACTGGGAAGGGTATGGGGATTTTAACGCATGTTGGCGTGTTGAACCCATAGTGCTAATAATTTACAGTACCGGTACTGTACCGTGAATAGTCTATCTACTTACCACACCCACCGGAGCTCCCATAAACACTGCTGTTGGCCTTGCTATCATGCGTAAACCATGCTTACGGATGGCGGGAGGAACTATGGGGGGGGTAACGATATGGATACCCCCCCCCCCCCCCGCCATGTACAGTATGATGGATAATCCGTCGCTTCTTTTTTTCCCTCCAGTATGGTGTTCCTGAATACAACTATGCAGTGGGAAAGGCAAGACCGCTCAAGGGGGACTTCGAGTCTTGTGCTCTGCCTTTTTTTCAATTTTTCAAATTTTTTTAAGCTAGGGTAATTTTTGGTTTGGACATTTGCCGGGGTATGATGTTCCTTGGATTATCTCTTTCCTCCTCGTGCCATTGGGGGGTTCTGTAATTTTTACCGTTAGTGGTGTGGGGGAATGATTCATCCGGGCTATTTTAGTGCCGTGCCTGGGACCCAGGGAGTGGGGGGAAGATGGCGGGCTTTCTATGACATGGGGCCTTAAGTATATTTCGGTTACGCTATGCGCTGGGGACTGCCGTGGGTTGGGGTGCGGTATTGGGGAAATCTATTACTAGAAAAGCGGATCGCGGGGGCTTGTAAAAGGGCTCGTCGATGCGTGGCGGCTGAATGAGAGATCTATATTAGAGTTGCTTTCTCAAGTTTTGAGCCCAGCCACCCAGCGCTTTACGGTATCTGTTCGGGTGTTACGCCGTGCTGGTTGCTTAAGCTTAAGCCGTCTGTTAAGACGCTGGGCTCCGTCTCTTCTGGCAGATCGCTCCTCTTATGATAGGATCGCCTCGATATTCGAAGGGACTAACCGGAACCTAGATAATCTGTCAGTGGAAAAATAATCTGACGCGGAGTCCCCTGTGTCATGGCTTCCTTCGAGGTACGATGTCGGAACAATTTTCGAGATACGTCCGACAATATTTGCATCTAGGCCGCTGTCTGTTGTGTGGGGAGTTGTCTCCCTTTGTGGCCTTGGGCGGAGATATTTGGTGGCGCTATTATCTTGTCTGAACTTTCTCAAACAGCCCACAGCCGCTTCCCCCCCGCGGGATGCTTCTCGGCCTCACCCCGGATGTGGCGGTTCTCCAGAGAGGGATGTGCAAGTGCTTGGTAGTTTTACGATGGGCTTGTCCCGGTAATTCAATAAGTTTTCTGGTTCAGTGAATTAGCTTAGGGTGTCAATAGATAAGCATAAAAGAAGGCTGTGTGGAGACGAGACTGTCTGGACTATGATATCTGCACAATTTCGGAAAGCCGCAAACCCCCGGTCGACAGTGACTGCTTTCCCCTCCTTTTCTGGTCCACACAAACAGCCTGCCTGCTCGTCAGCGATTGCTCATTTTGGGCAGCGAGGTCGGGGTCGAAGCAAGCAGGGGAAACACCCCGTCTCACAATCTCATTACCTTTGCTGTCTATCGCCGGAGAGACAGTTTTGCTTCTTTAGAACACTGCCTTTCCTTCTTCAGGGACCATCTCCCTTACCTGGGATAAGTCTTGTTGGTTCTCGGATCGCCGTAGAAAAACAAAGCCCAACTATCAGATTCACCTTCCCATTACCACCTAGCTAGATCCAAAATTTATCGGTTTTGAGGAGCCGGCCTCCCATGGTGTCGGCCCAGCGTATTCGGGGGCCCTGACGCCATAGAGGGAGCTAAAGGAGAGAGGGATAACCAGGATCTAGTCTCACGCCTATCGTTAGCAACAGAATGGCGATTCGAGGTAGTGGGAGGGTTGATACTATCATTGAAGACGGGTGACATTTTTCTGTTTTTGGCTGCCCGGAGTGCAGTCGATAGCAGTCTCATAAGTAGGATGGGTTGCTGAAGCTCCATGTGCAGGGGAGAGACGGCGGGGCTGATATATGATGTAACCTTGGAGATGGCTGGGGGTGGTCCATCAATCCGCATGAGGTTTGTGAAACCGGTGTGTGTAGTGATCGGGAACAAGACACGATATATATTTCATTAGGCCTTCGTGTGCTTGGCATCAAAGCACACAAATCGTGCGCTATATTTCACAAACATCCAGCGGAATTATAGGGAAGTATGTGGAAATGAGAAAATAGGCCCGAAGTGTACCTGAAGAGCTGCCCGAGCGGCACGGAAGAGGGTTTAGACGACTAACTAGAGTCCAGACTTTATTCTCTTTAGGATACTGCCTATTCTTCCCTCGCCCTTTAGCCAGGGAAAATTAATAGCTAAAAAAAAGGGGGAACAAATCTCAGGGGTAAGGCAAAAATTAAGCAGCCCAGGTCCCCGAAGACAGCCAGCACACCACCATCTTCGTAGTGCAATGAAGGTGGGACACCATGAGAATCCACCCTTGATGAGCGGTAGATTTTGCTACTAAGTAAGTATGAAAGGAGAAGAGGGAGTGGGGGGAAGGGGGTATATATAGTCGAGAGACTGGGGCGCTAAGGCCTTCTGAATTTTTGCCGGCGGGAAATGATAGGGTTCGGGATTCGACATTGGGGGGGGGGGTCAACAAGAGCTACTAACGATTGAGTAATGAGCCCTTTGTGGAGCTGACTTTGGAATACGGGTGGTGATTACTGATTTGCTAGACCCAACAATGTTTCCTCTCTGCCCCCCTCCACTATGGCTAGGAATACCTTGCTGAAGGAGGGGGGAGAAATAAAGAGAAGAAATAGCCCTCTTAAATAAACTAAAAGCTATCCGACTCGGCGGCCCTGGGTAAACTACTGATGTAGGATCGAATCCCGATCCATTTGCGCACATAGGCCACAAAATATCGTGTATTAGGAGTAGATAGTGAATTGTTTGGTTGCCGTGATGTTCGTAATAGGGGTGTGCACATTGGCTCTGCGTGCTGCCTCCCCCATCGTTAGACATTGTGTATCGTATATTGTCCTAAATACCGTGACATATGATGCCTATGGATTACCAGCAAAGAGCCCTGAAATTGAGGGGGCCGATACGGGATTCCATACACTTGATCAAACTACGGAATTGTGTGCAGTAAAGTATGTAGCGTTAGTCGCTAGCTTGTGGTGAGAGGGAAACATGCCTGAGGCCGTGACTGGCATAGCACTTTGGAACTTCACGGACACCATTTTTCTGGAAGCGAAATGATGCGGGGAAGGTAACATACCGGTGCAAGAAGGGCGCAGAGGACAGACCTGCCAGATTTGATGTTTGCATTAGATTGCCGGTAAATCGTTTGTCGCTCCCCCCGTGTTCGTCATCCTGCTCTGTTAGCAATGGGGAGATAAGGGAGAGCACATCTAGAGCAATTCGCCCTAGCGGGTTGAGTTGGGGACTGCTGCACCCTCTCTAAGGAACAATGCATAATTTTGGAGCCAGAGCAGTAGCGGAAAGGGAAAATTTCTGAGTTATTGGCTTGTGGAAACTATGCGCTAACTCAGTCATTCTCTTACGGAGGCAAGTATTGCGGACAGCAATTGCCCGATAAGCTAAAGGTCTGTCGACACCTAGCGTCCTGAGGCACACCTGCATGTATTGACTTCTCACTTAAAATTGTAGAGACTCGAAGTTGACCCGAGCAATAGAGTAGGCCCCTGGGCTGTTTTTGTTTTCTGCCTTAGTCCCCGTGCTCTACCGCCAGGAAGACAATGGCAAAAGGGAGGAATGAAGGTAAATCAAAAATTGAGCAGCCCAGGTGCCCAAAGACAGCTGGCGCAGTATCCATCTTCGATGTGCCGTGAAGGGGGGAGACTGCGAGAGTTCGCCATTGATGAGCGGAGGACTCTGCCACTAGGTAAGTATGAGGAGCAAAGAAGGAGTGGGGACTGGGGGGTATTTATAGTGGAGAGACGGGCTGCCAAGACTTTGCGAGTTTTGGCCGACGGGCAATGATAGGGCTGGGGGTTTAGAATTGGTGGGGAATTGCCGCGCGGGGGTGGTGGATGGCGAGTAAAGGCTGAGCGGCGAGCCTACAATACGGAGGGCCCTGTCGACCTATTAGACCTACTAACACCTTATGGTATTTTACCTTCCCCTTGCCCATTGGCCTGCGGCGAGGAATACGATGGGGGAAAAGAAAGAAGGGAATAATAGCCCCCTGAAAAAGATTCAAAAATGTGGCTCGGAGGCGCTTGCCACACTACGGGAGTGAGAAGAAATTCCCCGAGAACTAGCACCCTCGAGCGGGGACTCCCGCCGCCTGCACTGCACCCCATGATCAAAACAGAAACTCCTGGGAGTTATGGCACCGAAGGAAGAGAGGTAGAGAAAAGGTTGGGCAACTGGTTGGGTGGCTTGCGGCGGGAACTCTGGTGGCGGGGAACCCCTGGATGTTCCTGCGTTGAATTCACGAAAGCAAGGAGCAAGGAATCGTACACCCCGGGGAGACGGCGTATTGTTTGGTTGTTGTGAGCGTGTGATAAGGGTGTATCGCTTGAAAGCTTTCCGGGACACCTTAGCTGCTTGTGTGGCTTCTCATGTTGGATATGGATCGAATGCAGCATTCTCTCTCGAATTCCGCAGAATGGGATACCAGTAACTTGAAGGAGCCCTAGATTTTAGAACTAGATAGGTAACAAACCAGGCGCTAGAAGGAGCGGCACTTGGTGGAATGAAGGGATATGCACCCGATCCCTGTTCCAGCTTCCGGTGGGAGGGAAGTTCGCTTGAGGCCCTTCTTGAGGCACTGATTTGGGATTTCGCACCTACGGCTACGCGCGGGATATCTTTATTATTGAGTTACCTATTGTCGCGTCTTTAGCACCTTGCCTTAGTCTCCTCTCTCTATGGCCGGGAAGACAATGACAGAAAAAAGAGGAATCAACCCTGCGAGTAAATCAAAAATTGAGCCACCCAGATGCCCGGAGACAGCTGGCGCGGTGCCTACCTTCGTCGTGCAATGAAGATAGGACACAGCGAGAATCCACCATTGATGAGCGGAGGACTCTGCCACTAGGTAAGTATGGTTCCGGAAGACTCGTGCCAGGACCAACTTTCTCACAAAAACTGTGACAGTTATTGACGTGACCGAAACTGTAATGCTGGTTAAGAGACTAGGTAATAACATAAAATGAGGCTGTATAAGTTAAAACCTGATTATTGGGCTTTTTTGAAAAGTGCAGGAAAATGTGTTGTATATTTACGAAATCTTCAGTTTTTTGGACATAAAACATACTACAGAGGTCATCTGAAGTTCTAAAATATTTTCTGAGCTACTATATACCTACTTTACATAACTAGCTAAGTAGTTAAGCAAAAATAAATGTTTTGTAGTTGAGGCCCGATAATCAGGT